AAAAATTAAAAATCTGCAAGAAATATTTTGTATAGCTTGAAAAAAATATTCTCAAAGTTGTAGCTAATGTTAAAATATCTAAACTTGATTTAATAAAACTTAAACTTGTATTGCTTTATGTATTCTGAAATTTTCTGAAAGTTTTATATAATCACAACTTGAAACTCTAATAACATTTTGAAAACCTTTCGTTGACTATAAAATATTACAAATATTTCGAGGATATTTCTCGAAACATGAAACATTTCACAAATGTGTATTACACATATATTTCATATGGCTAAGGCAATATCCTGAGAGGCTAACTGAAATTTCTAAAGGTTTTTTAAGCTTGTTCCATACTTTTTTGAAATGTTTGCCTCAAACATCGTCTCAAATCCCATCCAGTGACAACTTATTAACTTTTTCTTTTTGTATTTCTACGAATCTAATCTATTTACGCTCTTAAAGACAAATTAGTAACTAAGTTGTAAGCGCCGGAATTCACAGGAAGTACACGAAAAGGTTTTCATGGTGCTTGGATCCTTGAAGCTCTGCTCGGGCATTAAGAAGAAGAAGAAGAAGAAGAGGAGTCTTACTTTGCTTTTGTGTGTCATTGAACTTTTGAACATTTTAATTTGTGTTATATTAGAATTTTCTGTGTTTGCCATTGTTTTTTTTGTTGTCGCTTTCGAGCATGGCCCATGCGGCGTATGGGTAACATGACACAAATACGAGTAAGTTCAAGTGAAAGTCGTTTGCATTGTGGACAGAGGCAGCCGTAGGAGGAGCAGCAGGTACATGTTACAAGCTACTTCTGCTGCTGCTGCTGCTGCTGCTGCTGCTGCCACAGCACCGGCTCAACTCGACTTTTGACATTTACAAGTGCCTGACGGGCAGCCATGGCCGGGCCGTGGTCCGGGCAAAATACTGACGTCTGACGTTTGGCTGTTGATGTTGCGACTTTTGGTCGGATTAAATGCGCAGCTACACCTGGTGACATATCTTCGAAAACAAGTGTGCAGATGGGTGATGGCAATCAACGAACATCAAAATTCAACGTTCAACTTTACCATACAACAACAACAACAACAGCAGCAGCAGCAATAGTAGCATCAGCAGCAGCAGCAGGAGGAGGAATGGGGCTAGGAAAAGCAGCAGCAGAGTGGGGCAAGGACAACGTATGGCAGCATCAGCATCAGTCAAAACTTTACCAGCAACTGAATTATGTCATTTGGTGACAGGGCGTGCACAGAAGCCGAGGAGGTTAGGATATAAGGTGGGCTGCCTGCTGGATCTCTGGTCGATGGTAGCAGTCGATGGTGGCCGGCAGCTCGGTTGGCACAGCAATGGATCCGGATTCAGAGGCAACGGCGCCACATGTATGTCAACGTACCGAAGGTCGGGGCTGGGGGGCAGCTGGCAGGTAAGAGCTAGATTGGTAGGAGCTTAAGACAAAATACAGTGAGGCAACATATACAGATATTACGTCATTCGGATGAGGTCTTCATATTAATAATGACAATGACAATGACAATGACAATGACAATGACAATGACAATGACAATGACAATGACAATGACAATGACAATGACAATGACAATGACAATGACAATGACAATGATAATGACAATGACAATGACAATGACAATGACAATGACAATGACTATGGCATCATCATCATCATCATTATATATTTTATCATCATAATGGTATAGATGTAAATGCTATGCATTTTAAGCCATAGATTACTCAAAACACGTACTCATAGCTATATTTATGCATATTATGTATGCTGTATATATT